TAGATTTATTAAAATACAAAACGTGAAAGTATATTTGAGTCTACAAAAAGAAAAAAAACGATATTCTCATGTGTAGGAGGATGAACGCATTCACTAATTCTTAAATCACCTAAAGCGACCTGATTGAATAAGTCTATATCCAAGAATAACGAATAGCCTCGGGACAAATTTATTCTGAGCCAGTTATTAGTATCTGCTTGAATGCTTATGGTAAAGAAGGAATCGAATAAAAGAAGAACTAATCTTTAGATATTTAGTCACTAAAAATAAGCGTTCATCATTTTTTCCTAAATAAAAATTATATTTAATTTACTATAATTCATTCCCTACGCCATTGGAGAAATTTTGCCCCTTTCAATGGGTGAAAAATTAAAGCATACAATATATTTTCTAAGTAAATTATGGCGAAAATTACCCACTGGAAAAGCAAAATTAAGGATGAAAAAGCGACCAACGTCAATATTCATTAGCGCCACCTGTGATAATCTCACGTAAAGGGCATAAATGGAGTAGAATGACAGGCAGGATAATTAAGTCTAGTTTAAAGGAAAATATGTCGATTGAAAAAGGACATATAAGACATAGGACTCTTAGGTTGCATAGGGCAGTGACTTGATTAAAGTAGCTTGGAGGATATATAATCCATAAAATAAATACTTTAGTAAAATTTAATAACGAATTTTAGGATGATGTAGCTACTCATCGTAAATTGGAACAGAAACGAAGGTAAATGAGCATACTAATATATTTACTGGTATTACTTCTAATCAACATGATATAGAGGCAAAGTATATGTACTTACAGCTCCTTGGCTGCTACCAACTGGATCTCTTCCCGACAACATTGGTAAAACAACCAAAAAAGTATTTCATCAGAGAGCTGGTCCATCAAAGGATCGGGCAAATGATCAGCAATTAAATTCCGAATAAGATACTCCGGCGGGACTACATAATCAAGATCCTGTGGCCGACCCATGCATTGATCATGAAATGGCGATACAAATGAGTTGTATAACTCACTAAATGCAAAATAAAAATAATTAGTATGGTGACAAATTTAATAACAAAGGAAAAAACTCCTAACTTGGTTGCCTCTAAGCATGTTAAAAACATTCGTACAAAGGGGTATGTAAAGTGTATATATATCCATATATGCATACAATGAAGTATTTAAATGTTCTGCTACCTAGAACCTAGGATTTCACTAAGGCAAAGCTACAGCAGTAAATTATAAATAGAAAAAAGTTCACATACATTTAATTCATTTTTTATCAATAATTTGAAAATTATTTTTGATACCGAATTTCCCAACGTGTGATTGCTGTAAAAACAACTTTTGTCATTACACTTAGGCATAATATTCAAGGTGAAATGATTCTCAGCCACGAGATGTCTATTCTATCTGTCTGAGCTTTCATAAAATGCGCTTGCCTAGACTGCCAAAAAATACAAGGTTTAAGGAGTAGATAATGTTAAAATGGGAAAGATGACTAAAAGGCCAGAGGAGAATTCAATTACTTTATAAAGCTTGAGTCAACTTTTGACTAGGAAATACCAACTAGTAGATAAGATAATATGCTATATTTACCGACAAACAACAATACATGGGAAATAGGAATAAACAAAGATATACTGGGTATAATGAGAACAGCCCATTATATAAAGTATGAAGATCAAAATATGTAAACTTCAGCGG